GACTGCGTACGGTCGGTGAGGAAGGAGGAGAACCACCGCATCACAGTGCCTCCCACTCCCAACCCACCCAACCGTCGCAGCATGATACTGTGGTCCACAGTATCAAAAGCCGCTGAGAGGTCCAAAAGAACAAGGACAGAGGAATAACCCCTGTCCCGGGCCCTCCAGAGATCATTTACCAACGTGACCAATGCCGTTTATAAAAGATTGAATCTTCTTTCTCCTTCATCTCTAACGTGAATCTGTCCATTTCTGCACAATCTAGGATTTTCAAAATTATAAATCTGGTCTGATGGTAGGTTTTCATTTTTCCAAAATTGGGCGAATACTATTCTTGCAGCTGTTAATACACGTAATATTAAATAATCATTTTCTTTGCCATAATTAGGTCTTAATATACCTAACAGGAACAGTTCTGGTTTAAATTCTATCTGGATTTTCATCATCTTTTCTAACCATCTATGAATCTTAGACCAATATTTTTTTTGCAATAGAACATGTCCACCAGGCATGATAATAAGTACCCGGTTTTTGCTTACATTTCCAACATGTATCCGATAAATTTTTAAACATTTTCGCTAAGCGAACTGGTGTCATACGCCATCTATAAAACATTTTATATAAGTTTTCTTTGTATGTTACTGCTTTAGTAAGTTTGATATTCAAATTCCAGCAGGCAGGTAGGGGAGATAACCCACCGGACTTCAGCTTTCTAATTGGACCTCTGCTGCCCATTTGAACAGGCAGGACTTTTAATTTCTGGATCACATTTTGAGGACGTTTTAAGAGACCAAATAACACCCGAAAAAGGGCAACGTGGGTGTTTTAAGCACCCACTTCTGCAAATAGTTCTGCATCATCTCACCAACGGGCGATACCCATAATATCACTGGCCACAATTCACACTGCTGCCAAGAGGGAAACAGATACAATTGCTGACCTGGATCTAAAACTTTTTTGCTCTTCCTGCTATATGGATGGGTCTGATGAAAAAAGAGAAAGTACACGTAAGATTCACAGGAGGACTCACCAGGTCCCGAATGATTTCCTGAATCTGGCTTTGGGCCAATTCCACCTCCTCGGTGGGTCCTTCCAGAGTGATCTTCTCATCGCCGTCCGTGAATTCAATGTGGACCTGAAAGCGGATGAGCCGTGCCATCAAAAATGTGTATATCCCAACAGATCTCAATAAGTGTAGTTTTTAGGGGGAGGTGCGAGTGTCGCACCAGACCCTTAAGATGTCATTAAAATGCTTCCAGGAAACTCATCCGCAGGTAGTCCTCGACACACGACCACAACTGGGGCAAGAACTTCCATTGCCGAACAAGGTAGTTGTGAAGCGAACGCACCCAGTTTTGTGAGTTTTTCTGGCAAAGTCATTAAGCGAACCACTGCACTTGTTCCGAATCGTGTGGTCGTTAAGTGGATATGGCTTCTCCCATTGACTTTGCTAGTGAGACGTCAGTTGGGAAGGTCACAAATGGTGGTAGCATGACACACACAAACCCAGGATGTTGCGACTTTTGTAAATACACACCTGTGGCCACGGGCCCAAATTTTGATCCCATGAGCACAAAGATAGAATACAATAGGAGGGACCTTGGAGCATTCACAGCTTCTGGAGGCAGGTTGTTCCACTGGTTAATTGTTCTAACTGTCAGGAATTTTTTTCTTAGTTCTAGGTCAGTGGTGGCGAACCTTTTAGAGACTGAGTGCCCAAACGGTAACCCAAAACCCACTTGTGCATCGTCGGGAGCCGGGTGAGCGTGGCCCAAGTGGGTGGGCGTGGCTGCGGTAGTCATGGCAGACTGGGTGGGACTAAAAAATTCAATCAATCAATTCCAACTTTGCAAGATCTTTTTTTTTCCCCGCGAGAAGTTGAAATTGACTGATTGAACTGTTTTGGGTTTTTTTGCACACGGCGGCAGAAGCCTAAACAGAAAAGGTTTTATAAAACCCAGCTGAAGTCCTAGGACTGGGGCGACGGCAGGCGTGCCCACAGAGAGGGCTCTGAGTGCCGTCTCTGGCACCCGTGCCGTAGGTTCGCCACCACTATTCTAGGTTGTTTCTCTCCTTAATGGTATGGTGGTTGTAAACGTGAAAACTGATTGTAAGTTGAACGGTCACTAAATGAATGGCTGCAAGTTGAGGACTACCTGTATTAGAACAATGTGGACCTGAAACCCATACATTGAGATTTAAGGTGCTCCAGGATCTATTAAGGGAGGGGCAAAAGGCCCAATGGATTCTTCAAATTTAGTTCCTGCTTTTCCGGTATCCTCAAGGGAGAGGCATGCTTTTCTTTTTTTTTAACAATATTTCATGCATCAAACCAGAGTTTTTACTCTCACTATTTTATTTATAGCCATGTTATTTTAGGAATACTTGCCTTGGGGAGTTGCTGGGTGATCCTGCCAATATTCTGTCCTTTCTTCCCAATTATAAAACGATGTAACCAGGCTGGGGCCATTACTTCAGCTACCATCACACTCTTCGCCTAGGTAAAAGGGACAGGATTTGGCAAGGAGAGTTTACCGGCGTCATTCGCAAGAGTGGCTTTGAAAACCTGGCTACAGACAGGTCTGCATTCGAGTGAGATACCAAGGCTGACAAGTGTTTTTAATGATGCAATACCTGCATTCTGCCTCCAGGTGGCATTATGGCATCATTGCAACATTCTCGTGTTTATTTTTCTTAATTAGATTTGCAAGTTGCCCAATTACACTAAGCCAGAGTTGGTTAATCTTCAGCCTCTAGGATTCACATAACCATTAAATCCCTGTTTTGTGTCCCTCAAACCTATCCAATTTTGCTAAAACTCAACTTTTCTCCCATTCTGAGTTAGGAAACAAATAATAATAATAATAATAATAATAATAATAATAATAATAATAATAATAATAATAATAATAATAATAATAATAATAAATATAGTATAGTATAGTATAGTATAGTATAGTATAGTATAGTATAATAATATAATATAATATAATATAATATAATATAATATAATATAATATAATATAATATAATATAATATAAAATAATTTATAATATAAAATAATTTATAATATAATATAATATAATATAATAAAATAAAATATAATATAATTAATATAATATAATATAATTAATATAATATAATATAATATAATATAATATAATAATATAATATAATATAATATAATATAATATAATAATATAATATAATATAATATAATATAATAATATAATATAATATAATATAATATAATATAATATAATATAATATAATATAATATAATATAATATAATATAATATAATATAATATAATATAATATAATATAATAATATAATATAATATAATATAATATAATATAATATAATATAATAATATAATATAATGTGTGTGTGTCTCTAATTACGTTAAAAATTTGAATCTTGGATGATGCCATGTAGTAAAAACAAATAAATACGAACACCAGGATAATATCAAACTAGGATTTGTTTAATAAAAATGCTGAGCTTTCGTCGGCCAGCACTGCTGACATCATCAGAGCATAGAAACAAGTCAATGGGAGTTCCCTTTTTATAACGCCGGCCGATTTTGCGCACGGCTCCTGGACCTAGTCATCTGTCCATCTGATGTCTCTGATTGTTTCATTCTTGGAAGGCACGTAATCGCTGTTCCCTTGATGGTTTTTAAAGCCGCAGTGGATAAGGGAACTGAACTGAACAATCGCCAGAAGAGCGATTGAAGATCGGAAGACAACCATCAGGGCCACGGGCAGATTGCCAGGTGTAGAGCAACTCAGCGCATTACGGACGAGCACAATCAATGGGCCGATGACGCGCTCGAGAAGCCGGGCGCAGAGGCAAGCGGCTATATAAGCCAGCTCCCAGATCTCCTTTTACTCCAACTCTGACGATGTCGGCAGTTTAGCCGACGAAAGCTTAGTGACTTTTTATCTACATTAAACAGTCTTGTTTACTTTTATCCTGATGTTCGCTTTTCTTTTAATTTTGTCAATATGATGCCCAGGATTTGCATTTTTAGTGTTATAAAGGATATATAAATATAAATAATATAATAATATAATAATATAATATAAATATAATATAATATAATATAATATAATATAATATAATATAATATAATATAATATAATATAATATAATATAATATAATATAATATAATATAATAATATAAAATATAATATAATATAATATAAATAATATAATATAATATAATATAATAATATAATAATATAATATAATATAATATAATATAATATAATATAATATAATATAATATAATATAATTAATATAATATAATATAATATAATATAATATAATAATATAATATAATATAATATAATATAATATAATATAATATAATATAATATAATATAATATAATATAATATAATATAATAATATAATATAATATAATATATAATACAATACAATACAATACAATACAATACAATACAATACAATACAATACAATACAATATAATATATAAAGTCCAAGAATGTCATTGTTAAAAATAAGGAGGTAGAAATTCTCCAAAGCCCCAATGTTTCCTTAGATAAAGTGGCCCCACGTTCTTCCCCCCCCCTTTTAAGTGCCACTTTTGACCATCAAAGATTGCCCATCTCTACTTTTTCACAGTTTGTTTAATGTGGTTTCCTGAAAAAAAACACCACAATTTACTAAGTTCACTAGGACACCACATCCTGTTCGTGATTTACAATGGCCGAATTCACATAAAACCTTAATCTAAACACAGTGGACCCTGTCTGATACAATACCAGTTTAATTTAAACAAAACAGCGGGTATCCATCCAAAGGAAAAATGAGAGGAAACACACATATGCACACAGAGAAAAAATACCTGCTGCACGGATCCAACATTTTTACCCAGCTGGTCTTTAAAGTTCATGCGCATTTTTGTTTTCAGTTATCTTACACAAATTCTAGGGGAAAAGCCGGATTTATTTTACTGACTTTGGCACATCAGTCAAGGTGCCTGGCTGCCAGTGATACTACTGTGCTGGTCCCATGTGAAATATCCCTGGCTGACTAGTCCAGGGGTAGGCAACCTTGGCTCTTTTATGACTCGTGGACTTCAACTCCCAGAATTCCTGAGCCAGCATGGCTGGCTCAGGAATTCTGGGAGTTGAAGTCCACGAGTCATAAAAGAGCCAAGGTTGCCTACCCTAGGCCTTTATGTGACCGTGGCAGATGGATACCTTGGCATAGACCTGAGTTAGGGCTGGCCCCAGTTTGTCCGGCTCTCCACGCAGAATGATGGTCTCCGAGCTGCTTTCAAGGGGCGGCATCTCCACCGAGACTCCAGTGGTATCTAGGATTTCCTGCAAGGTGTTTCCTTTCGGGCCGATGATGTACTTGTGCTGGGACTTCTTTACCTCCACGGAGATGGTGGTGGTCTTGCGCTTCTGAAAGACAGCCAGAGGCAGCTTCAAAGCCAGGAAAGATGCAAAGCCAACCTTAAATCACAGCCCCCCAATAATCAAATGGGTGCGGAGCAGACTGCAGGAACCATTTGGGCTTCAGTCTGAGAGGCAGACAACACAGACTCCTTCCCAACAGCCTGGCCTGTCTTCAACAGTGAAGGCAAAAAACATCCTCCAGCCAAGAAGACCCCACACCCATTTGCACTATTCAGGTAACCCTGAGGACACAGATAGACCTCCAAGTGGCCTCAACGACTCTCTAAACGAAGGCACACGACCAGCTGTCTGCAAGGAATATAAATCCTTCCATTGCCCCACCATCCAGTCAGAGCGGAAGAACTTCTTGGATGAGAAGTGAAACTTCTTCAAAGAAAAAACAAGAAAGTCCAGTTGCCTCTTGAAAAAACACCTTTGGGACATACCCTTCACA